TACATGCAAGTTTTGATTGGTACGATAAAGCTGTTCAGCATGTCTAAATGCTGTTCAAATTTGGAACAGGAGTTCAGGAGATGTAAAACAGAATTCAACTACCGTCGCCCAAGGTCGGTTGTTGCAAAGTCTCTGCATATCTCTAAGAGGATCATCAGATATGTGTTTGGGTTAAACTACTGTATTTGAGTATGTATGGATGTAATTCAAAAAATTCAGTACAAAATACAGACACAACAAGTAGCAAGGAGAGGAAAGGCTAGCTAGACCTCTATCCCTGTCACTACTCTATTAAATTTGCAGAGTTTGCACCATCAGATTTAGTGAATTAAGGCAGTTAATGATGCATGATTTTGAGTTTTCTTGCATAATATATTTAATAAGTTTATACTGAAATCTTAATTACACTTACTCATCCACAGGCTAAGTAGATTGAAATGAGAAATCGATAATATCTTAATATTGTGATGGATCTGGAATTTTTGAGGTCAAAATAACCATTGTGATGACAGAACTCTACCTCAGTTGGGAAATAGAATCATTGCATGTGTGTAGTAGAGTATCTGCCACTTCATTCCAAAATTCACTGCATCCTATCTATGGGGTTGTGTTTCGTCTCTTTTGATTGTTCAAATAGTAATAGTGCCACTAGAAGTTGGTCCGTGAATCTACTAAATAGAAGCGTGCTTTTTCTCCAATGGTAAAGTTGTACATTTAAATTAAGTAGCTGTGTTACACAGCTGTGGATGTGTATAGGAGATAGTCAGTGAAAAATAAATAAATGAATAAAACAAAAATATATTTTCAGATTTAATTATAATAGTTGTTATTTCCTATTAGTTTTAGTAAAAAGATTGTTTCTTTTACATAAAAAACATCCGTATTGTTTGATTGATATTATTTTTTTTTTCAGCCTCTCAAAGTTTGCATTCATGGTCCTCCTGGAGTTGGCAAATCTACTGTTGCTGAAGAGCTATGCAAACACTACAAACTACATTGCATTAAGATAAACGATGTGATTACTGAAACAATAGCAAATCTGGTGTGTTTCTGTTTTCATATAATGCTATTATTTTAATTTCTGTGATTTTAAAATGTTTGACGTCATTTAAAAATTAGTTATAATTCCATTATTTTAGAATGGAAATATCTTTTGACATACTGATCACCTCTGAGGGATACACTGAACTCTTTTTAGAGACTGAAGATTGCTCAGTATCTCACTGTCCAGGAGTACACATGAAATGAATTGTTTAATCTTATTTTTTTCCTTTTATTCCATCTGTGTGTGAAAGGATTTTGGCTATGGAATTTCTGAACCTATTCATACTTCTGTTCTTGTCTTCAGGAGAAAATCCTTGCTGCTAAAGAACTGGGCTCTGACAGTGTGGGAGGAGAGGAAGAAGATGATGAAGAGGAGGAGGGTAAAAATGTAGAAGCTGCACAAGAGTTATTAGCTGGAATAAAAGAAAACATGGAGCAGAATGCAGGTAGGAAATACAAAGTGCTAAGATGGGATTTAGGTAACTAGTGCAACCCTATGCAAACGGAAAATGAGGAAACAAATTTGTGCTTATAGAATCATAGAATCATTTAGGTTGGAAAAGACCTTAAAGATCATCCGAGTCCAATCATTAACCTAGCACTGCCAAGTCCACCATATCCCTAAGCACCACATCTACATGTCTTTTAAATACCTCCAGGGATGGTGACTCAATCACTTCCCTGGGCAGCCTGTTCCAATGCTTGACAACTCTTTCAGTGAAGAAATATTTCCCAACATCCAATCTAAACCTTCCCTGGCACAACTTGAGGCCATTTCCTCTTGTCCTATCACTTTTTACTTGGGAGAAGAGATGGACACTCACCTCGCTACAGCTCCCTTTCAGGTAGTTGTAGAGAGCAATAAGGTCTCCTCTCAGCCTCTTTATCTCCAGGCTAAACAACCCCAGTTCCCTGAGCCACTCCTCATAAGACTTGTGCTCTAGACCTTTCACCAGCTTTGTTGCTCTTCTTTGGACATGCTCCAGCACCTCAATGTCTTTCTTGTAGTGAGGGGCCCAAAACTGAACACAGTATTTGAGGTGCAGCTTCAGCAGTGCCGAGTACAGGGGGACAATCACTTCCCTAGTCCTGCTGGCCACACTATTTCTGAGACAAGCCAGGATGCTATTGGCCTTCTTGGCCACCTGCACACACTGCTGGTTCTTATTCAGCTGGCTATCGACTAACAGCCTCAGATCCTTTTCAGCTGGACGGCTTTCCAGCCACTCTTCCCCAAGCCTGAAGTGTTTCATGGGGTTGTTGTGACCCAAGTGCAGGACCCAGCACTCGGCCTTGTTGAACCTCATACAATTGGCCTCAGCCCATCGATCCAGCCTGTCCAGATCCCTCTGTACAGCCTTCCTACCCTCAAGCAGATCAACACTTCTGCCCAGCTTTGTCATTTGCAAACTTACTGAGAGTGCGCTCGATCTCCTTGAACTTTTATGTACTTTAGAACTTTTACGTCCTAATGTTATCCAACAATGAAGGGGTTAAATTTTGTGAAATAATTTCATGAAGGATTTAGTACGCTGTTTGCACATATATAAAGAAGACAGATATGCACACAAGGTCCAAGAACAGGATGACCATCCTTGAAGCTGTCAGGAGTGATTAGTGGAGAAACTCCTTATCAAGAGTTGGCTGTCCTTGAAAGGGGAATATCCCAGAAAATGTACAAATTTTATTATCATGTTTTGGATTGTCTGCATGCGCAGCAGTAACTAGGGTGAATGGTAATTCCAGCAGGGGGAGAACGTGACCACTGACTCATGGACCAGCTACCCTAAACATACCTCAGACCCAAAAGAAAGGGGCAGAGGAAAAGGACTGAGCATGGGAAATAATGTAAAGCGACAGAAAATGAACCAATTGTTGAAGAGATTAAAAATGAATATGTAAATATGCTAACGATTTCAGGGAGGTGTTATGAATATGTATGATTACAGTGTGTAACTGAGTTTCTATCCAGGGGCCCGGTGTGCATCCTAGGTGGAGATATCCCCCGTGCACCCGGCCGGTCCCGCCACAAAGTAACGCCGCTTTCTGACACTACCAATTGTGTCAGGGAGTTTCTGTCCGGATTTCCGGTGACACTGTTAAAAGCACCTGTATGTATGTACGGGTGCTGTCCATTTGTATGTACCTTATTTAAAATCAAATACAACATTTTACATTATACATTATGTACCTGTATATTAAAAGTGATATGTTTTTTTAAACACTGTGGTGCTTTTTTGATTGTAAAAAGTTCCATCCTGCTACTTCTTTCTACATTTCATATAATTCGATTTACCCTATAAGTTGATATACAAGTAACAACAGCATACTCAGAAGCATTAGATCCTTGGCCAGACTTTTTAATAACATATTTTCTTCTCAGAATACGGAACATAATTTATATAATATAAAGTAAAAAGTTTTATCAAATATGCAAAGAAACAAAGTATTCTGGTAAGAAAAAGAATTAGTACACTGTCATGAGTATGTGTCATGTGGGTATTTTAAGTACCTCATACTTCATTTTGTCCATCTCTAAAAAGTACATAGTATTTACTGAAGCCCATAAAGAATTTTGAAGTCTGCAGATTGAAAAAGATTCATAAAAATTACCATTACTGAAAAGTAGTAATTATTGTCTATATATGAATAAAGTCATGTGGTTTTTGACTTAATGCTTAACATTTTCCATGCGGTATAAAGCGATCCCACCTAAAAATGTTTTCTGTCACTAAAGGTTTACCTGATTTGTGTCTTGTGTATCTGAAAAGCAATGAATTTGTAACACACCCAAAAGCTTCAGAATGAGGTCTATGGCAGCATCTCTTCTGCATACCTTGCTTTGTTGTTTAAAATAATAATGCCTTTTATAATAGTAACATACTTTTAAGATTACACTGGTTTAAAAGCTGAAGGAAAATAAAGTTGGAAAACTGAAGTCAATGGTTGCAAAAGGACAAAAAATCAGATCAAACCAAACATTTTAATCCCACGCATTTGCTCAACAATGTAGGCTAAGTTAATAAACCGCTTCATATCTTGATCTATTAATCTGAAAATGAAACTTGTAAAACCTATCTCATGTTTGTTTTGCAAGACTATCTTTAAGTCTTACAGTTAACTGCAAATAGAAAATGATTGCTTTGTCACATTTTTTTCTACAAATATTTCTTTGATGCTTCTATTAAAATCTGATTGCATTATTATAAAAAAAAAAACTAATCTCATGTTTAGTATCCTTAAGTTCTCATATTTATATCCTTCACAAATGTAATTTTATTTTAGAGCTACAGATTTATATTCTATAAATCACTGGCAACATGTAATATACAAATGGTAACTCAAAATATATCATTTTTTTAGGGTCTAAATAGAAGTTTCACTGTTAAATTAATTAAAACGTTAGTAAAATAATTTCAGATATCTCTTTTCCATAAACTACGTACTTATTAACCTTCTTTGTGCCTCAGGTCATCTAGATGATCAGTATGTTGTTAAGTTGGTGAAGGATAAGCTCAAATCCATGCCTTGTAGGAATCAGGGATATGTTTTAGATGGGTTCCCAGAGACATATGAACAGGCAAAAGATCTTTTTAATTGTAAGTACTGCTGCTTTTGTTTTTATTGCTGCTAATATTGTCATTATCATTATTGTTCTCAGTACATATTAGTTGAAGTGCATCAGGACTGTAATGACTGCAGTGCAGGACACAAAACAAAGTTGTTTTCACCTGGTGCTTGAAACGTAAGGATTGTAATGTACCTTATTTAATTCAAGCATGAGATATTTTTCAAACTATCTTTACTGGCAAAGGACTAAATAAATGCACAAATATGGAGGAGACATCCTTGTTCTGTGTTGGTCTACTCCACTCAAGCAAGGTCTACAGCAGAATTTCTTCATAATATTTAAAGGCTGCTTAATGAGGGGATCTAGCCAGTGCACCAATATTTTCTAATTTATTTTCTAATATATTTTCTAAGCCAGATTAAAGTGGGTATATTAGATCAGCTGCAGTAGATATGTCTTCAGAGGAGCTCTGAGACATACATTTCAAATTGTGAGCAAGCACTGTCCATGCATTAAGACCAAGCATCATCTCCATATGTAAATTATACATCATAAGGTTTGAAGGAAAACAAAACCCAGTCTTGTTCAACTTAATATGTTGGGCTGTAAATTGTCATGCTCAGCTGATGATCTTCAGGCAGTTTACTGACTATTCAGAACAGCAGACACTTAGTGACAGAAACCATTTTAACCATACTGCTGTAAAACATTTCTACTCAGTGTTCTGAGCCCTGTCCCTGATTTTGGCAGAATAAAGTACTTGGCAGGAGGAGGGGCCAGGGTCAGGACAGCAGCATGGACACATTTTAAAGTTGTGTATGCATGTGCATACTTCAGCTGTATAGGCAAATAACTATTAGTGTCCCAAGGCAGAATTCTGCGGTGGCTGGCAGCATGAATTACTAATTGAATTCTCTAACTTGGTGTCCAGGTTCCAGTATTTTCCAGCAATTAATATAATTTGAATATATACAAACCTGTGTTTGTACTGGGCACATTTTAGCAAATATAATTATATTGTTGCTTCAAATGAAAATGTCAATATTTTCTTACTTTTGTTTTAGTGGAAAGTGAAGATGAAGATGAAGAAGAAGAAGAAGAAGGCAAAATACTCAATTGTTATAAATTAATCACACCTGGTAAGTTTGATAGATTTCTTTTTAAGTAAAGAGGAGTTTTCAAATACTGCTGCCAGCAATAAGTCGTCTAAAATATCACTCCATCTGTTCATACTTAATTTAACATAAAATAAATATCTAATCCATGTAATGCTGCTGCCCTCTTATTTGAAAGTGAACAATTAATCAAAAGGAATATTTTAGTTCAGTTAGTAGATGTTTTATTCTTTTTTTTTTTCTTTTTGTGAAAACGCCATCAACTGTTGGTTGGTAACAATAGTAGAGGCTCCCTTTGTTGTGATTACAGCAGCTATTAATGGAATAAACATGAGCTCCTGAACTTGGCATCTTAAAAAAATACAAGTTTATCTTTAATGTGATATCTTGAAAGATGTTACCAAATTCATTTTAATGCATCAGTTAAGTTGGGACATAAAAGAGAGTGGTTTTCATCTATGCAGAAGTGGCTTCATCCTGGTGTTTTCACTATTCTGGATTTCTTTGGAAGTTTTGATTACATTGAAACAATACATTTGGCATATTTTGCATTACAAGATGTGTACAGTTAGGTAGTATAAAGATTTAATATCTCAAATGCTTAGTGTTTCAGTAAATTATAATTTACTGGCTTCAGCAGAAGCAAAGAAAATTCAGGACTTTCTGAAAAATTCCTTAGTCCTTGGACTTACATGAAGGGAGAAAGGTTTGATTTAAAAAGCCAGCTTCTACCAAGTCTTTAACCACTTATGAATTGCTTATTTCTGGAGTAAATAATTTCTGTTATTCATAAACAAACCCACTTTTAGTCAGCATTTCTAAAGAGGAAATGTGAACGAATTATTATGATGGACTAGAAAAAGTACCGCTTTCTCTCCCATAACAAGGACTTTAAGTATGGGATCTCTTTTAAGAAGATACCTTCTCAGCCTCAGGGGAAAAAAATGGTTTTCCAGAATGGCCCAGAAAGTACTTTTGTTGGTTTGGAGAGATTTTCTTGGGTTTGGTTTTGGGTTTTGGAGGTTCTTCTGGGAGCTGAGGCAGAGGGGCTGTGTCTGTGCTTGGTTCTGCAAAATCTGATGTCAGAAAAATTACTTCCTGTCTTTATTAAATTAATAGGTTCTAGTAGAACTGGGAAATTATATTCATAGAAATATCAAAATATCTTGTGATAAACTATATTAAGTCATATTCAATAAATACAGATTTTTTTTATTGAGTTAATAAAATACTGCAAGATTCAGCCTAATGAAACCTCAAATAGGAGAATTCCAAAGTGAAGAAATGAGCTGGGGATCCTTGAAAGACTTCTGGTGTTTTTGTCTACCAATAGTACTAAAACAACTTTGACATTAAATTTTATGGCATGTGGCAGCATAGTATCTTTAATGTATTATTTGATTATTATGTTTTAAATTTACTTTAATTCAGCAGATACACTGTTATTTGTGAGATTAAAAATCACAATACAGGGTGAGGACTTTTGACTTGACAAACAAGTGAGCTGTTATATTTTCCAATGTTAGTTGCTGCTTTGGCCACACCATTCATAACAATTTTTTTCCTCCTACACTCATTGAGTGTATTGGTTGTATGATAGCTTTGTCAGAAAATTTGAACTGCACTGCAGTTCTGTTCTTAAGATTTTTTCACTGCTTACTGCAAGAATAGTTTTGTTGATAGTGCTAAGACAGAATTTGGTGAAATTGGAATATGTAGCTTCTTTGCAGATCTATCTCTTAATATTGTCGGATTGCTCTAACTGGAGAAGTTTTATATAAGAATTTGATAATTAAATTCTCTATAAAGATATACAATTGATATCTATTTATGTTCAATTGTGGTTTAAAATTTATTGTTAACACAAAATAGGTAAGAAAGAGAAAAAATAATAATATATGGGTACTGATAATGTGTTCTTCTTCACAGAATTCGTTATTTCTTTGACCGCATCTGATGAATTCCTTATAAACAGAATAATAAATCTGCCAGAGAGAGTTGTTGCTGGAACTCATTATACCCAGGACCGGTTCTTGCAATCTCTGAATCTCTTCAAGGAGTTAAATACAGACGATGAGACTGTTCTCAATTATTTTGATGAACTTGAAATACATCCTCAGTTTATTGGTATGAAATTATAAAATCAGTAGATAAAATATGAATAAAATTTTTTTGTTGTTACAAATTTAACACTTGCAAAGATCATATAGTTAGTGTACACATATAAATAATACTTTAAATTAACATTGCAGAATACACATGCATCAAACATTTCATTATATACCTGCAAAATTATCTGTATACTTATAAGGATTCTGAATTATTATCGTACAGTTACCCTGTTTTAAAAAATAATTGTTCATTTTTGTAGGCTAAATGGTCAAAATAATTTTCTGACTTAGGTTACAGACCTCTGCAATGGTGTCCTTCCATATTGGTGTAATAATATATTTTCCTGGACTTTCAATATTATAGTTGCTTATATTTTTTCTTTAGACTTATCCTCAGATGCCATGACAATATATGGGTAAGCTATAAATGATGAAGCATGAAAGAAAATTACTAGAAATTAAAGATGGAAGACTAGGGCTATATCTATTTTGCACTATACGTGAGAAAATTTGTCTCCCCTACACATTGTCTAGAAAATTGTGATGAGGGGGGTGTTCCAGTTGGTTTATCAGATCCACAGAATTAAGTAGCATCAGATTTTAGCAGAGAACCGATTGCTTTGTCAGTCATATTCTGAAAGAATTTAGTGGGGAATGGTTAAAAAATTGTGATCTGTTAAATATTGACTCAAGTTAATCAAATCTTTCTTCCACCTTAATTTCATAAAATCATAACATATGGATTTATGAATTGCTTTTATGACTATTACTTTTCCTGAGTCTGAAATATGATTAGTACAAAGGAGTGGGTTTCAAGATTCTTGAAATCCTATTTTGCCACAGTGACTCACTGCATGAAGTCTGCAAGTCAGTTATCTCGTGTCTTGTTTTTCTTATCTGCAAATTGGGGATGATGACACAGGCATGTTAGATCATCTACAAAAGGCCTATTAAAGTTATAACAGCAATTTCCTTCGAAGACCTTAATTTATGAACTCTTTTTTTGGTGACCTTTCCTTTCAATCAGCATCAGTGCTAACCTCATTTTTTATTTAAACGTATTTATTTTTGAAAAATATGGAGTCTTTGAGACCTCAGATTCAATGCTGAGAGAGTTCTTTGCAATACTTTACACAACTAGAAAAATGGTTTGCACTGTAATTTGTATATCCAGGTGCAGCTAAAATTGCAGAAACAATGGCCTGCTTAACATAGAAAATTCTTTTAATTTGGAATACTTCAGGAGTGTAATTCCTGAATTTTTGAAAGAAGAAGCTGTAAAAGAAATTTTATTATGTAGAATTATGTTAGCTTTCTCCCCACTTCATTAGCAGAGTTTGGACTTCAGGTCCAAATCACAAACACTTGGAATAATGGTGTCTGAATTAGTGATTGGAAAGAAATGGGAAGCTGTGGTGGGTTGACCCTGGCTGGATGCCAGGTACCCACCAAAACCGCTCTAGCACTCCCCCTCCTCAACTAGACAGGGGAAAGAACATATAAAGAAAGGCTATTGAGTAGAGATAAGGACTCACCAATTACCATCACGGGCAAAACAGACTTGACTTGAGGAGATTAGCTTAATTTATTACCTATCAAATCAGACTAAGATAATGAGAAATAAAACTAAATCTTAAAAACACCTTCCCCCCACCCCTCTCTTCTTCCCGGGCCTAACTTTACTTGCGATTTTTGCTACTTCCTCCCCCACAGCAACACAGGGGGCCAGAGAATGGGGGTTGTGCTCAGTTTGTCACACGTTGTTTCTGTCGCTCCTTCCTCCTCAGGAGGAGGACTCCTCACACCCTTCCCTTGCTCCAGTGTGGAGTCCCTCCCACGGGAGGGACAGTCCTCCACAAACTTCTCCAATGTGAGTGCTTCCCACAGGCTGCAGTTCTTCAGGAACTGCTCCAGCGTGGGTCCCTTTCAGGGGGTGCAGTCCTTCACCAACAGACCACTCCAGCGTGCATCCCCCTGGGGTCACAAGTCCTGCCAGCAAACCTGCTCCAGTGTGGGCTCCTCTCTCTACAGGGCCACAGGTCTTGCTGGGAGCCTGCTGCAGTGCAGGCTTCCCGTGGCATCACCCTCTCCTTTTGGAGGCCCCGACATGGAGTCCTCCACGGGCTGCTGGTGGATCTCTGCTCCACTGTGGACCTCCATGGGCTGCAGGGCGACAGCCTGCCTCCCAATGGTCTTCACCACAGGCTGCCAAGGAATCTCTGCTCCAGCACCTGGAGCACTTCTTCCTCCTCCTTCTTCACTGACCTTAGTGTCTGCAGAGTTGTTTCTCTCACATATTCTCACTCTTCTCTCCAGCTGCCGTTGCCCAGGTTTTTTTTCCCCCTTTCTTAAATATGTTATCCCAGAGGCGCTACCACCATCACTGAATGGCTCCGCCCTGGCCCGTGACGCATCCACCCTGGAGCCAGCTGGCATTGGCTCTATTGGACATGAGAAGCTTCTAGCAGCTCACAGAAGCCACCCCTGTAGCCTCTCCACTACCAAAACCTCACCACACAAACCCAATAGAGAAACACGCTTTTGCCAGTAGACTGGAGTAGGGACTACTGGGTTCTCATCTAAATTCTGTGTTCTAGTTGTTCTGGTTTTTTTCCCCTTCCTTTGCTTGCTCTCCTTACCAATTTCTGTGTATTTACATCTCTAGTCCCTTACCACTGAACAAGCCCTTTGTCTCTATATTCTCTGGATACCTAAAATGCCCACTTTTCCTCTTCTCCATGTACGTTTCTACATCCTTTCTGCCAGATGCTTCCTCACACTGAATGCATACAGAACACAGAAACCCTAGAGGTAGTCCCCATTTTTCTGTGGTTTTTCTCTTCCTTCTTTTTTTTTTTTGTAAGTTGAATACACAAGTAGCCTCCAGCAATTAAAAGGGAGAAGGAATTAAATGAAAGAGAAGGTCTTGCTCAGTCTCTACACTCCTACATGAAGATACAGACTTTTGTAGATATAACACAGTAAAAGTTCACCTAGAGATAGATCTGTGTATTTGTAAATCTGAATACGTGAAAACTTTGGAGTTTGTTGCCAAATCCTAACAACCTATTGTGTAACCTGAGGGGAAGACAGGGTCAAAAGCTGATGGTTTTATACATCTGGATAAGTTGACATAAGATTGGCAACAGGAACATCTCTGATAGTTGAATGACCTCATTTTCATGTTTCAAAACTTAGGCAATCTGCAACTGATAAACAGAATAGTTGTAAAAAGTGTTTTAATACATTTGTCCCTTACATCATCTTAAAAAGACAAACTATTTTAGCTAAAACTAGTAAAGAAATTAAAGAAAATCAGATGTAGAAAACTGCATTCTGTGTAGCAAAAAAAAAAAAAGACGACATTTATAAGCAACTGAAAACAACATCTTATGCTTGAAAATTCAAACATTGTGAACACCATATATTTTTAGGTCTTGCAGTTATTTGCTGATGTCCATTGATAATTGACAAAAGCCTTGAATGGTTCTCTCTTGTATTTTTTGAAAGATGTAGCCAAATTTGAAGATCCTGAGAACAGATTTATTGTAAAAGAGATCATCAAAGAAATTGGGGAACCTCGGAATTATGGTTTAACAGATGAAGAAAAGGAGAATTTGGAACGCAAAGCAGCTGAGGAATGCCTTGTCAAAGAAGCTCAAGAAAAAGCTGAACGAGAGCGTAAAGAAGCTGAGGAAAGAGCTGAAAGGATGGCAAATTGGGAAGAGTGGGTAGGTTTATTTATATGTTTTAGATGGCTTCCAGCAATCTGTTATGTAAATACACTTGGAAAGTGCAGCATAGATTCTCTAGTTCCTTACATCATGATTTAGATCTGGGTTAGATTATTTTCACAGTGCATTTTGAGGCCCAACCTAAAGAATATAGCATCTTTTCAGTTACAGACAGAGCGGGTGTTTTTACATGTGGGTATCATCATGTCTTTAATATACTTTTATGATACTCTTCTTGTCATTGTTGTGCCATAGCTCTTTTATTTTACCATTTGTAAGTATCTACTATAATCAATGGTGTTTTTCCATAAACAGTCTTCTAGGACTTTTGCATTTTGCTCACTTTATTTCTAAGCAGCTGACCAAATCTTAGCCATTATACCTTTCAAACAAGATTTTTAACTCAACACTGATCAATATTCCAGTCTGCATTGCAGAAAGGTTTCTGAGCCTGCAAGAGAAACACCTCTGAGAGCTGAGTCCTCAGTTCAGTGAGGACTGCCTGATACAGCCTGAAGGATGCTTTTTGTTTGCTAATACTTTAATAAGTACTGGGTATTCAGGCTACCTGACATCACAGGTGTTGCACCTGATGCTTCTTCGTTATTTACTTTGCCATACCAAAGGACACTTTAGGTGAATAACCATGAAATGCAAGAATGTTCTTGTTCACACCCGAAGTCAGGTTGTTTCATCATGAATGCAGTTCTATTGTTTTCTTCTACAGCTATTTAAAAACCAACCGATCATTCCACAGAGAAATCCTTTTCTTACATTCGAATGCCCATACACATCTATGGGGAAATAATACCCTGAAATTACTCACTTTTAAAGAAGCATTTACATTGCTCTGATATTGGCTTGTAAATGTTTTGTTATCTCTATGCTTATTTACACCTTCATTCGGCATTAAATAGCATTTTGTACTCTCGGTAAACTTCTCTAAAAGATTAGCGAGGGTAGTTAACACATTTTTAGCTATATTCAATCCAAAGCCATCCAACTTTCAAGAGAGCAAACTGCGTTATTCAAAGCTAAAGTAAGTGTTTAAATAAAATGTGCTCAAATTTATCCTTTAAAATAGGCAGATGCTCAGGAAATCTAAGGAACTATTCATTTGCTCTTGAGACTGTAGATTAGCTGCTGTCTCTGAGTAGTGACCAAACATCACTTACAGGATTTATTCAATGGCACTCCTGGATTGAGTGAATAAACTAAATATCTTTTCCAGATACTGGTATATCGGTTTTATCTGAACATTGTGTTTGTGTTAAGCCTTGTGTATAGAAAAGCAGTCTTCAGAGTATCATCTGCTTTCTGTATCTATATATGATATATGACTCAGGCTACTGATGAATAAAATGAGAGAAGAGAGGACAATAAAAATGTTTTTGAGTAATCTTCTGGCTAAAACTACTGCAAGTATGCATGCTATTAAGTGCTATGAAATGGAAGAAAGAAAAGCTCGCAGCAGTTTTATTTCCCCACCTCTCCTACTTATTGAGTGTAATCATTGTATTTGATTTAACCTGAATTAAAGAATAAATTTAGCTTGTGTAAACAGATGTAATTCACTGTAGTTTTAGTTTACTTAACTCTCATCTCCCCCAAAAACTGCCATAAATGAAATAAAACCAAAACAAAGCAAAGAAACCAAACTCAAAATAAACAAAAAAACAAACACAATTTACAGTTTCTAAATAACTCAGAGTCATGTCTCTCTTCTGAGTAAAAATATTCTCTTTCCGCTCCAGTTCAAAGAACTCTCAAGAAACCATCTGCATTTGCAACAGTACTAATTTTTAAAGTGAGTGTATTCCAGTCATTTTGCCAAATATCTTATGGAAACAGAACCACTGGAAGACTTCCGAATAAACCTCCTTTTAGGTGTTAAAGATAGAAAAAGAAAATCCAAGTCACAGAAGGCAAAGGCAGGGACTGGGAGAATGAAGAACCGCCTACTGTAGGAGAAGATCAGGTCTGAGACCATCTTAAGGACCTGAAGGTGGACAAGTCCATGGGACCAGACGAGGTGCCTCTGCGGGTCCTGAGGGAACTGGCGGATGAAGTTGCTAAGCCACTATCCATCACATTTCAGAAGTCGTGGCAATCTGGTGAAGTTCCCAATGACTGGAAAAGGGGAAACATAGCCCCCATCTTTAAAAAGGGGAAAAAAGAAGACCCAGGGAACTACAGGCCAGTCAGTCTCACCTCTGTGCCCGGCAAGATCACGGAGCAGATCCTCCTGGCGACTATGCTAAGGCACATGGAAAATAAGGAGGTGATTGGTGACAGCCAACATGGCTTCACTAAGGGCAAATCCTGCCTGACTAATTTGGTGGCCTTCTATCATGAGGTTACAGCATTGATGGATAGGGGAAGAGCAACTGACATCATCTACCTGGACTTATCCAAAGCATTTGATACTGTCCCACACAACATCCTTGTCTCTAAACTGGAAAGACATGGTTTTGATGGATGGACCACTCGGTGGATAAGGAACTGGCTGGATGGTCGCACTCAAAGAGTTGTGGTCAACGGTTCAATGTCCACGTGGAGGCCTGTGATGAGTTGTGTTCTTCATGAGTTGTGTTCTTCAGGGGTCAGTACTGGGACCAGTGCTATTTAACATGTTGTCGACATGGACAGTGAGATCGAGTGCACCCTC